AACTGTTCTTTTTCTAATGTTTAGTTAAATTTTAAATGTTTTAAATTGACATGGAAACGATATGTATTGAAACCATAAAATTCATATCGTAAAGTGGAACATTTTATGAGGACTGCTTTAATAATAGAATAAATTATTTGTGGCATTATATTGATACAAACATCCTTTGATAAATCAATTGTTTGGGATTGGAAAATGACTTGCATGCACGTGATATGTGCCAATTATCATAGTATTCATGGTGAGATTTTCCTTGCATAACTTGAAATTGAACCTATATTTGCACTCCTCGTTCGAACAAATGTTCAATAGAATCCACATAGAGCAGAGAAATGGAGGGTAATTCCTCCCTGCATAGAATTTCACCTGTGTTTCCTTTTACCTCTCATTCGCATTAAACTTTTTGTAGAATCTATTTCAATTTCAATTTTCAGCTTTGTTGTATTCAATAGTACTTATCTGAGTAGCTTTTTGTGTTTGAATGCTTGAAGAGGATACCATGCTGAAGCAATGGGTTGAGGTTCCGAAGATCGTCTAACTTACTTGAATGAAATTAAAATTCCTGAGTCAAAGGAATATTTAGATGAAGGAGAGAGTGGATCTTGTCAAAATGTTTCAATTGTCGAAAAGCGACGTTGGATCATTGATGTGATTGTATGGCAATTAGACGATATGTTTGGCTTGGCTTGTTGAAGTTAGTTTGAAGAAAGAGTTTGGTAGTTCTTCTCCTTTCTCTCATAATTTTCATTTATTATTGAAAATTTCTTAAAAAATTAACAATGCAAGAATGTATTGTTCTAAAAGTGTTGTGGAATTTATACTTTGGCTTGTGTTATAATTTATTTCTTTTTAAGCACATAGAAATTTATTGTTTGATTTTGGTTTCTATTGTCAACACAATCTTGCTTGAAATTAGTAGTTTATTTCTTAAATATGTTTTTCGGGCACTGTGGTTATGATATATTACAATCAAAGACACAATTATGCTTGTGTATGATACTATAAATAAAATAAAAATGGATAAATCAAGCTCTGCACATTTCTAACTGTATGGTTTATGATACACCTACAGCCTCTTGTGTTACAGAGTATGGTTTCTGATATTATATGATAAAATTTTTGATGAATATAGCAACAATTAGAATCCTGGAATCCAATAACTCAAAATACCATGAATTCCTCATCGGAAGGAAAATAGCTGCTGTCACTTTATCAACTAGGAAGTCCACACATTGTAGAGATATATGACAGTCCAAACAAGGAGATAGATTCAAATGGATACCAAAATGGAACAAAAAATTGCATATACATAAGCACTTTTTTTTTTAAGCTTTAAAGCTCTACTACTTGAAAAAATTGTATATATAGAAACTGTAGGCTTCACCACGTCATGCTTGAAAGCTTTTTTTTCTTGCTTGCAAGATTCTACTAAATTAGGCGAGCGTCTCTCAAATATGTTAACATTATATATATATATATATATATATAGAGAGAGAGAGAGAGAGAGAGAGAGAGATGAGCTGCCAGTTAAGATTTTAAATGATCTTATACTACAGTTCGTACCTTATCTAGGAGAAAATAAAGCCCTGTAATCTTTACTTGACTAATGAGATGATCTTTCATTTACTTTGATTGTTCCTTTATGTAGGAGAAAATAAAGCCCTGTAATTTGCTGAAATGGGATTAATAATAACCTTTTTCTATTACCAATTACATTGCTTGGTTAATTTTGAGTGAGATTTGGGTAATCTTCAGGAAATTATAAAAGAGAATAGACCAAAAGATCTTTCATCACAAAAATTCTGCGATGTATCACAGAAAATTGCTTTGAAGTGCTATATTTCTGTGATACATCGCAGAATTTTTGTGATGAAAGATCTTTTTGTGATACATCGCAGAATTTTATATATATAGCACTTCAAAGCAATTTTCTGTGATACATCGCAGAATTTTTGTGATGAAAGATCTTTTGGTCTATTCTCTTTTATAATTTCCTGAAGATTTCCCAAATCTCACTCAAAATTAACCAAGCATGAAATTTTATTTGTGAGTTATGTAAATGTATAAGAATGGTGTGCTTGGTAAGAGATGAGACGTTCTTCTTTTACTGATTTTTTTTTCGTTTCGAATCTCTAAGTTAGTGATCCATTAAGAGGGAGGGGGAGGGAAATATGCTGCATAATGCACCTCGGTTTATCAGCGAGAATAAAAAAAAAAACAGTGAAATATGCTGCACAATTCTGGGGAGTGTAGCATAACACATTTTTCTGAATGGCCATTGGTTGTGTGGGGCTTCGCAATTCCCAGGCAACCCGTGCAGCTATGCTATGATTCCGAAGATGGATCGAAAGATAATAAAAGGTTGTTTGATATCTTATTAACAGAAATTATCTGATGTTACAACAAACAATGTCAGTTCTTTAGCTGGGCAGACATTCCAACATATTCCAGTGCCCATAGCAATCGGGGCTCGACAATATCCCAACCAGACAGCGTTGCTTAGGGTTCGATGTCATCCCAACAAAAAAATGTTGCTCCATACATGCCCCTTCTACATTTTAAAATGAATGTTATCATAATTTTAATTGTAATTTTGTTATGTATTTTTGTTTTTTAATAGTTGTCTCCCTTGAGTGAGGAATATATCTTTTCTTTTCCTTTAAACTGTTATGTAGTATTTTTTTGGATTTTAATATATTGAATGTATTATCATTATATTAATGTTGCAAACAACTCCATTGCGCGTGACTGAAATTGTAATTTTTCCACCAACAGCTGCAAATCAGTTGCTTCCAAACTGTAGAAACCAAACAACTTAACCAAACAGCTAAACAGCTTATCCACAACAAGCATTTATCCACAAACAACTACAAATCAGCTGTTTTCCAAACGCACAAATCAAACGGACAAACAACTTATCAGGATCAACTGCAGATACGCAACTTATCAGCATAAGCTGGATAAGCTGCAATTGCCCCAAACAGACCCTTAATTCTCAAAAAAATTTAAAGGCCAAATTATCAAAATCAATGCCACAGCAAAAACAGCAACAGGGAAAATTTTGAAAGTGCAGCACATAAGTCTCTTTCTAATGGAAGACAGAAATATAAAAATTGAAAAGAATACTACTCGGTCTACGGAAATGCTCTGTAGGATCTCAAATGAAGTATCAAGCCTTGAGCTTTCCGTAGAATTTCTGCTTCTCCTGAGTAGTTTGGAAACGGCCGTGACCAAATTTGGATGAAGTGTCAATGAACTTGAGCTTAATCTCCTCAAGAGCCACGCGCGATGTCTGCTTCAGCAAGGATTGACGAAGAGTGACAACCCTCTTCTTTGGCCCAACACAGCAACCTTTGAGCAAAAGGTAGTCGTCTTTCACCACTCCAAAGTGAGGGAACCCACCAATGGGAGTAATATCCTTTTCAGTCCTACAAAATAATAAAAAAATTATCATAGCTGAAATATAAATCAGTTTATTCAGTTCAAGGGCAGAATAATCATTTCTACAAATCAGTTGTTTTCCAAACGCACAAATCAAACAGACAAACAACTTATCAGGATCAACTGCAGATACGCAACTTATCAGCATAAGCTGGATAAGCTGCAATTGCCCCAAACAGACCCTTAATTCTCAAAAAAATTTAAAGGCCAAATTATCAAAATCAATGCCACAGCAAAAACAGCAACAGGGAAAATTTTGAAAGTGCAGCACATAAGTCTCTTTCTAATGGAAGACAGAAATATAAAAATTGAAAAGAATACTACTCGGTCTACGGAAATGCTCTGTAGGATCTCAAATGAAGTATCAAGCCTTGAGCTTTCCGTAGAATTTCTGCTTCTCCTGAGTAGTTTGGAAACGGCCGTGACCAAATTTGGATGAAGTGTCAATGAACTTGAGCTTAATCTCCTCAAGAGCCACGCGCGATGTCTGCTTCAGCAAGGATTGACGAAGAGTGACAACCCTCTTCTTTGGCCCAACACAGCAACCTTTGAGCAAAAGGTAGTCGTCTTTCACCACTCCAAAGTGAGGGAACCCACCAATGGGAGTAATATCCTTTTCAGTCCTACAAAATAATAAAAAAATTATCATAGCTGAAATAATAACAGTGCTACTACTAATATAAATGCTTCAAAAAAATATAATATAAAAGGGAAGATTTACATGCATACCACTCAATTCTTATATATGTACATATCTAATACCTAAACTTTAATTTTTACACGCATGCCACCTTCATTATGTATGTAAAGGTGCAATTCATCTTTTAATAAAAGTTCAAATGATGGTATTTTTTTATGTTATATAAAAAATTTGGATGTTATAAACATAAAAAGTAAATTTTTTTATGTAAACATATATGAATTGGGTGGTATGCAAATGCAGTTAGTAGAGCGCAGGTAGATATAACAACACACCTATCAAACTCAGTACTGGCCGAGTGAGACTCATCTCCAGCTTTGCCAATCTTATAGACCTTCTTGTTCAGCTCAGTGCGGTGGTGGTAACCATTCTGACCAGCGCGAGCGACGGTGAAGGAAACCCTAGCAGGATGCCATGCACCAATACAAGCAACCTTGCGAAGCCCCCTATGTGTCTTACGAGGTAAGCGGGTTACACCCCAACGAGTAACGACACCCTCATATCCCTTACCCTTGGTTACACCAATAACATCAATCATCTCATCTTTCTGGAAAACTGCATCGATGGGGACCTGTTTCTCAAAGAAGCTGTAGGCATAATCAACCTTCTGAGCAACAGTTCCTCCGTTGACTTGAATCTCCATCAAGTGAGCCTTCTTCTGCTTCAATCCCTTCATTTTCCTGATCTGAAGAATAGATCAATAAAGATACAAGTTCAACATAAAGCTAAAATAATAGATGAAATTTTACTAAAATGTGATGTTTTGAACAAAAAAAAATAATCTGGCAACCAGAGGATTCGGTCAATTACATTGTGGCAGTTTGAAGTGAAAGTTGCATCTAATGAAAAGTGTGTAATAAGTCATACATCAACGGATCAATATTCCATTAACATTCCATTAAACTTAATTGCAACAAAAAAACTATATAGTATGGTCAAAGGACCACATGATGCAACCAACTCAATCGCAGCAAATTAAAGATCAAATCATAGCTGCCAAACAAATACACAGCAACAAGATATGTAGTCAAATCATTCGATTAGACCTTTCATTAATAAATTGTAAATGATTTTGAAATCATAGCACTAGATTTCTATCAGCCCTGAGGAAAAGTGTCATGCCATGCACAATCTCAAATTCTTATCATGGACTACAAAATTTTTCATGAAAGTCCAACAGTTATGCATGCATCACTATAACTTGGCAAACGAAAGCAATTCACATATTATATAAAATTTCATTTGCCTGTAAGTCAAGCAACAACGACATCTCCGACTCCAGCAAATAAAAGTTTTCTAGTATTGAAGAAAAATAAGGTAAAGCACATCAAGCTAAAAGTTATAAGTTGACTGCTAAGTTAATAAAATACTAGAACAAGAAAAAACACAAAAGCCGCTAGAAAATAGCTAAAAACTTTGATTTCCATTTCAATAACCATGAAATATAAGTTTACGAATTCAATTCATGTTAATTTTACTATATGTATGTTAATTTTACTATATGTATATAGATATAGAATAGATAAGGATAGAATATATAAACATTCTAGTATATAGAAATCTAATTATATAGTTATATAGGTAGAATAATTATATAGATAATAGATAGATAAAAATAGAATTATAGAAATAGAATTAAGGATATATTGATATATTATATATAAATATCAAATATAAATATCAAATTAATATGTTTGTTATTAGGTTAGTGATAGAAGAGGTTAGTAACTATAAATCTCAATCATAAATCTATATGAAAAAAGAAAAGAAAGAAAATAAATAAGTAAATAATAATAAAAGAATTTTAGATTCTCTTAATATTGAATTTTAATTATATTATCTTATTATTCTAATTCTATTAGATTCTATTTAGAATATTCTAAAAGTTTTATATTTCGATTTATATGTGAAAATAGAAGAAACCGCACTCAAAAGGGCATTTCCCATTGATATAGGAACTTCTGTACCAGAAACAATGGTATCTCCAAGTATAGCCCCTCTGGGATGTAAAATATATCTCTTCTCACCATCCCCATAGTGTAAAAGATAAAAATCGCTTTCTAAATTTTTTTTCTGGCAAACCCTACAAATAAAATGACAATCACCGTAATCATCACAATCAATTTTTGCATGCTTTTATTCTAAATTTAGGATGTCAGTTCAGATAAACAGATAGAGTTCAAGTATAACCCACCTGAATATGCTTGATCCAAAAGTGACCCATTTAAAATTATGGTTCAAAATAATACTTGATCAGAACCCAACTCAAGTTATGGTTCAAAATAACACTTGATCAGATCCCAACTCAGCTTAAAGCCAACTCATATAACCCAATTTTTTAGGGATCAAGTAATTTTGTAGATCAACACAACCCAATTAATAAAAGAATAACCCATTTAACTCAATTAAGCCAACCCAAACCTATCTAACCCAAACTCCATTAGTAATCAAGTTATTTAGGTCAACCCCAACCAAACTCAAATAATAATCAGGTCTATAATTTAGAACAAAACTCAATTATTTTGAGTTAGCAGGTTGGATCATTTATTAGCATCACTAATTATATACAATAACAACAACAAAACTTTATCCCACTAAGTGGGGTTGGCTACATGAATCCTTTTTCTCCATTGCATCCTATTGAGTGTTATATTTTCATTTAATTATAATAAATTAAGATAATTTTTTATACAATATGCCCAAATCTTTCTAGGTCTACCTCTGCCTTTTTTAACATAAGTTGAATCTAAA